AGCCGGTATGTCCCACGGGCCGTTCTCATGGATCTCGAACCTGGCACCATGGACAGTATCCGGACTGGCCCGTATGGGCAGATTTTCCGGCCTGATAACTTCGTTTTCGGCCAGTCTGGGGCTGGAAACAATTGGGCTAAGGGGCATTACACTGAGGGAGCTGAGCTTATTGATTCAGTTCTTGATGTTGTTAGGAAGGAGGCCGAGAATTGTGACTGCCTACAAGGTATTTTGTTAGGTTCTCAAAGTCATTTTAAAAGAACCAACAACTGCATCAAAAAACACTGAACTTTTAATTTCAGTAATAAGAGTTTAAATATTATAGTCTCAAATATAAAATAAAATAAAAAAGTCATTCTAAAAGAAACTAGCATTTAAATAACTCTCATTAATTAAAAAAAAAGAATGGATGATATTATTATAGTAATAGTTATATTTTTTAATATTGTGCGATTTCATATTATCCTTTAGCCATTTGCTTATTTCTGGGACACAAACATGACCCTTTTCCATTTTTGATGCAGGGTTTCAAGTATGTCATTCACTTGGAGGAGGAACAGGGTCTGGAATGGGGACTCTGCTTATTTCAAAGATAAGAGAAGAATATCCAGATCGCATGATGCTTACATTTTCTGTCTTCCCATCTCCAAAGGTGTCAGACACAGTGGTAGAACCTTACAATGCTACTCTTTCTGTCCATCAGCTGGTGGAAAATGCTGACGAGTGTATGGTTCTCGACAATGAAGCACTCTATGATATCTGCCTTAGGACTCTAAGGCTCAGTACCCCAAGTTGTAAGTTGAATTATTACAAATTATTACATCTTAAGATTGCGGATACTTGCACCAATCGGTGAGCCAAATACTCAGCTGCAATCTTAAAGCATTTAAATTATGTTTCTCTAAAGTTTGGTCGGTCATATTCAAGATAGCATCCCAAACAAATTTATGTACAACTACAACGCTTGCCAGGAACTCCATCTGATAGATATTTTATTTCCGTTTTTCCTCATCTTGTTTCAGTCGGAGACTTGAACCATCTGATCTCTGCAACAATGAGTGGTGTAACCTGCTGCTTGAGATTCCCCGGTCAGCTTAACTCTGACCTCAGAAAGCTAGCAGTGAACTTGATCCCCTTCCCAAGACTTCACTTTTTCATGGTGGGGTTTGCTCCGTTAACATCTAGAGGATCGCAGCAATACCGTGCACTCACGGTTCCTGAGCTGACACAACAAATGTGGGATGCCAAGAACATGATGTGTGCAGCTGATCCACGCCATGGTCGTTACCTTACAGCATCAGCCTTGTATAGAGGCAAAATGAGCACAAAAGAAGTTGATGAGCAAATTTTGAATGTGCAAAACAAAAATTCTTCCTACTTTGTTGAGTGGATTCCAAACAATGTGAAATCCAGTGTATGTGACATCCCTCCAGAAGGGCTCTCTATGGCTTCAACTTTCATTGGGAATTCAACTTCAATACAGGAGATGTTCCGGAGAGTTAGCGAGCAGTTCACAGCCATGTTTAGGAGGAAGGCCTTCTTGCATTGGTATACTGGAGAAGGAATGGATGAGATGGAGTTTACCGAAGCAGAAAGTAACATGAATGACCTTGTTGCCGAGTATCAGCAGTACCAGGATGCAACAGCTGATGAAGATGTCGAGTATGAAGAGGATGATGGCGGCGGTGAGAATTGAAGGTGCTCAACAAACTTGCTGCTACGTATGTTTCGTGCGGCAATTAATCAGCATTGAAAAATGTTAAATCTTATAATTAATGATTTTGAGTACTTCCCTAAAGGCTTCCTAGTAACGTGCACTTTGTTGACCATTACTGGTATTAACTTTTGACACTTCACTGAAGGGAAAGGGCCTTTTATCCAATTTTTGCTTTTGTTGTGGGTGGTCTGATGGTGGTATGAAAAATGTGTACCATGCTCACGCTCAGATCAAAAAAGCATTACTTTAGACTTTTGCCATATTTTGGTAACCTGCTGCATTACATTCATCTATCAATCATTTCCTGTAACTGAAAGAAAATCTCTTTTAAAGTCCGCAAAACTTCTGAAACTCCTATTTACTTTTTAGATAAACGACATTTCAATTAACCAAAAATAAAATAAAATGAATCTATGAAACACAGGATATTTGTCATTTGTATTTGATAGTAAAATAATGTGAACAATATTTTCTCTAAGACTAATCGATAATTGAGACACGTGAATCAAAGTGAAGCAAAGTGGAAAAAAAAGTACTCTCAGAAAAGAAAAGTTAAATATAAAAATAGTTTTTGTATTATATATTTTTTTTTGTTAGTTTTGATATTTAAAAATAAAATAAAATTTGTAATTAAATACTTAAATTTTTATTCTATCATATATTTTGATACTTTAAATAAGTTTATTAATCAAACTGCGGACATGACATCATTACCCCAAAAAATCTTATCATGTGTTAAAAATTTTAGTGATCTTGTCTCCCACTTCTTGGTTTAGTGGCAAACAAGCTTTAAGGAAAGTATTAGAGTTTTGATTCCAGCCAAGCCACCCTCTTTCCCTTTTTATGTAATAGGACATTGTCTTCCTTCGAGCAAAAAAAAAAAAAAAACTTTAGTAATCTTCACATTATCCTTGCCATGTTACCATAGAAGAAAACTTCAAAAAAAAAAAAAATCAGAAAATTTCTTTAAAAAATTAAAAATTTAGAAAAAAAAAGTTTGAAGAATTTTTAAAAATCCAAAAAATTCAAAATAATTTCTTGAAAAATTTTAAAAAATTTAAAAAATCTTACAAATCTCTAAAAATAAAAAAAATCAAAAAAATTACAAAAAAATCTGACTTTTTAAAAAAATTACAAAAAATTAAAAAAGAAAGAAAATAAGAAAAATTAAAAAAAATCAAAATACTAAAATATTAAAAAAAAAGTAAACATTTTGAAAATTTCTTAAAAATATGAAATATTTTAAAATTTTCGAAAAAAAGTAAAAAATATTAAAAAAACCAAAAAAGAAATTTTGAAAATATAAAAACTAAAAATATTTTAAAATTTAAAAAATTTTAAAAAACAATCTAAAATATTTTAAAAAAATCGTAAAAATTAAACAAACGGAAAAAGTTTTGTAAAATTCTCAAAAATTAAAAAAAAAAAAAAGAGATTTTAAAAATTTTGAAAACTGAAAAACTTTTGAAAATTATCAATATATAAAAATGAAAAGTAAAGAGTGGCCCTGTATAATTTTTTAGTTTTTAGATTTTCCTATGTTTTATTTTTTATTTTTTTTATTTTTCATTTTTTCATGTTTTACTATTTTTTTGGAATTTTTTTGGAATTTTTTTAAATATGGTAAATTTTAAGATTTTTTATATTCTTACGATTTTTAATTTATTAGATTTTTGTTAGAGTTTTTAAAAATATGTTTTTTTTTATTTTTCAGCTCTTTCGCCATTTTAAAAATTTTTGATAAAAAATTTTAGAATTTTTTAAGCTTTTATGAATTTTATTTAATTTTTTCGATTTTTGAAAATTTTTAGGATTTGTTTTCAAGTTTTTAAAAATTTTAGAGTAAATTTGGTTTTTTTCTCAGATTTTTTTTCTTTTTTTTTTTTTACTTTGTATGAATTTTTAAAATTTTTCTCTTTTTTTGAGATTTTGTGATTTTTTTGAAATTTTTTTGATTTTTTATACTTTAATTTTTTTAATTTCTTTTAGTTTTTTAGAATTTGTTTTATTTTTACTTTTCATTTTTTTCCTTTTTCAAATTTAAGAAATTTTAAAAAATTCTCATATTTTTTAAACATTTTTTTGGGAATTTTGTTTTCTTAAGATTTTTGGAAATTTTTAGGATTTTTTAATTTTTCTGAAAATTTTAACTTCTTTAAAAAAATTAATTTTTTATTTTTCACAAAGTTTTTTTATTGTTTTAAATTTTTTGTCCGTTTTTAATTTTTAAAAACTTTTCATATTTTTTCTAAATTTTTTAGATTTTTTGGAATTTTAAATTTTTTTTTTGACTTAATAATTATGATATTGCAATGATAAGATGTTTTTGACATAAGTTATGATTTTATTGAATATTTATGTCACATTAGTAATTGATTAACAAAAATAATCTGAAATATCAAAATATATGATGGAATAAAAATTTTAAATATTATAAATTTTATTTATTTAAATATCAAACTTGACAAAAAAACAATTTATATTATATTCATTATTTTGGTATTTAACCTAAAAGATAAGATTCCATCAATAGCAAAAGTCATTATCTGGAAAATTCAAATTTCCCGTGTCGATATTATCTAAAAAAAAATTGTCTCATGTGTAATGGATTTAATTCATTGATCATCATTGATAAAATGCTGATGGTTTATGTCTGTTGATGTGATGATGTTGCAAAAATATCACGGTACTTGTTTGTTTCCCACTTTTCTATTCGTGGCTAAAAAATTTTCATTTACAAAATCTAAATTATAATTACTTTCTTGTTCAATAATTATAGGAAAAAAGATTTCTACAATTTAATGTCTGGTTCACGTGGCTAAAGCCGATTCAGCAATAAAATTGAAAAGAAAGGGAGCAATCCAGGTCTAGCAGCCATGGTTTGCCCATTTATGAGAAAATGGAAACTGATACAGTTCAATGAAGCATTGGACTTGAGGCAAATTACACAAAGCAAAGCACTGGATTGGAACTTCTTTAGTCGGATCATTTTCCAAATAAGAATCATGATCTATGGAGTTCCCTTTCTTTTTTTACACTACAATCACAAAATACCATACAGGCTATCATGAAACTTATGAAAGAGTAGTTGCTGAAGGTACTAACAAATTAAGATAGATCATAATATCAGAATATCAGCCGTCCAATGCAAACATCTCATGATTGCACCTTGAAATAGCTAGTTTCAACTTACATACTACTAACTGCGTTCTCTTATTAATATTATTATTATTATAGAAAGGAAACTTTCAACACAAAGTAACATATAGCTAAGACGCAGGAATTAGTTTTTCTTGGCGAGGAAAAGGCCCCATCTCTGCTCCCCATATGAGCTCCTTATCAGCTTTGCCTTCCATCCACCAACTATATCATCATAGTCTTCCTGAATATTGGAAAATAATTAGTGAAAAAAAAAAAAAAACCCTTTGTAATTTTAAATGATGGAAACACAGACTCACTTGAGAAAAGTCAGACACAAATGCATCTCTGTCCTTCTCAACTTGGTTTAATTCACGCTGCAGAACTTGTATGAACTTAAGCACAACCAAACCACTCCTTTAGCTCGGGAACGTTCGTAATTTCACAACTACACAAAAAAAGATTAAAAAATGAAAATGGGTAGGTTTATCTGAACCTGATCAGTTCGATCCTCTGCAACAACCTCGTCAAAACCAGCATCACTAAGCATCTGCAAACAACAAAACAAGGCAAAAAGGTAACTCATCATATCAGAAATTGTTAATAAAATGAGAAGCAGTATATGAAAAGAAAACAACAAATGATCATGAATTAGACCATACCTGGCCATATGCTTTTACATCATGGAGATCATACCCTCTCTGCTTGATATACTCAGCAAATTCTGATGATGGAGTTCCAGCTTTTTTGCAGTAATCGCTTATAAGAACTTTGCCCCCCGGCTTCAACCATTTGTAGAAAGCTCTAAATAGATTTGGTTTGTCCTGAAAGTCAAATTTAGATACAGAACGTCAGAGAGTGACAAACTGGATCTAGAAAACCCAAAATGATTGACACTTTTTTATGCTGGTGATCAGGATATGAAATAGAATGAATGAACCAAATGAAATGAAAAAGCAATAATCATGAGGATTACTACATCAAATTTGTTTAATTGTACATTAGATAGCAGCTTTCCCTCTATAAATCCTCATTTTGAAGCTTATGTTAAACCTCTAAATCGTTTCAAAGGGAAAATTTTCAAGAATTATAAAGAAGCTGATCAAAATCCTCAACAAACAAAAGCCTCACTGTAGATGAGGTGTCCAGTCCCCTTACTTGAATATGTAGAATGGTGTCACGACTGTAGATAACATCAAATGTGTTGTCGGGATATGTCTTCTTAGTGCAATCAGCAACTTCAAATTCCACTGAGCAATTGAGTCCAATAGCTCGTTCAAGAGCAAAAGAAATCATATTTATGGAGAGATCGATGCCCACAACATGGATATCAAATTTCTCTGCCATATAAAAGTCACCTCCACCAATGCCACAGCCAACATCTAGAACCTTTTGGCCAGGCTTAAGATCCAACTTCCCCACAAATTCTTTCGTTGTTTCTGCTCAAAAACAAGTTTCATTTTAGGGGGGATGACATAGTGAAAGACTGACTAGACTAAGTTGGAACCAAAACAAAGTGTTAAACTCCAGGAACAATAGGGAGTTATGGAAGGACCTTGAGATATAGAAAAGCCATTATTTACCTAACATGGAAAAATATTGAAGCGATGCTATAGTATAATAACATTATCTGATACATATAAACTTTCAAGCTGCATTGATTATAGCCAGAGATGCTGCTTTGAGGTTCAAACATTACAGTGGAAAGGATGAAAATTCTACTTTAAAACCATTTCTGCTACTAGATAAACAAATCCCACGCAATGCTTCTTGTATGTAGTATTAAATTTTAAAACAGTTAAGATAAAATAGTTTTCATGTTTAATATGCATGTTGAAGCAATTGTTGAATCTTTCTTTCCCTATTTTCTCTACTTATGTGCAGTGAATTTTTTTTTTTAAATAAACAAATACAAAACTTTGGTCAAAGAGGGATACCAATTCCTCCTGTGCTCACAAATCCTTGTCCAAAGACACGCTCATAACGGAGTATGCCACTACATTTGTACTGAACAGTATCCAAAAAGCGTTGGAATATCCTATCATTATCTGAACTGACTTTTTGCCATATCCAGCAAATCTGAATTATACAAACAAGATAGTTCATTTTGTCAGTTAATCAATTCAAGACTGACAAAAAAAATATAATAATAAAAGAGATCATGTTTTATTGCCTGATTCTGATTCTTTTTGTTCCTAACATAAGCTCCGATGCACTTGCAGCCAACTAGAGAAAGTTCAAATGAATTTCCTGAATCATCAGTTGCATGGCATTCTTTAAAGATCTGCGATAACATACATGAAGAAACTCTGTTTAGAAAAGTAAAAAAAAGATAAGCTTACTCTTTTTCATAAATACTTCAATCCTCAGAGAACATCGAATAAAAGATATATTGGAGGAAAACCTTGGTGTAAAATTTGGGCTCACGATAGTGAGTTGGGTTATGCTTTCTCTTGCAGTCACCAGATTGATGAAAACAAGATTCCCTGAAGAAAATATGTCCACCAACCTTCAACCATTTCACCATCCTTTCTGCCAAATTCTCAACCTGCATTAAATGATGTTTTAGACAGAAAGATATTCAAGGAAGCTGGTTAATTTGTGAATCCAAAGCCAGAAATGTACATGCCAAACTAAGAGGGGGAAAAATTAAAATCAACAGCTAACATGTCTCTGTGAACTTTTTTTTTTTCTTTTTTACTGGAGAATATGCTATTAACTCTATTCAAGAGAGTATCTATACATGTTGAGCATGCATTATATCAAATCCAAATAAACATCCAGTTTAATAAAAAGGCAAAAAAATTAGCACAAGGTTTTTGCCTCAAAGAATCTCACATAGACATATTTGTGTGAGTGGTTGTGTATGTTTGTGTGATGTCTTACATAATATGAAGGATTAAGCCCCAACAGTGCGAGAGGCCATAAAAAGGAACTTTCCTATTGAAAATCATCTCAAACAACTAAAACAAAGAATTAAAAGATCCACTTTAGGTCTGGTGGTTGTTATCCATCTATCAGAGAGTTAAGTCCCAAGGTTCATGTTAAAAGAAATATTCTGTAATATTTTATAATCATGTAAGTCAAAGATAATATTAGGGGTTACGATATTGTAATTAGAATAATATCTAGGACTATGATACTATTACAATATCATATGAGATTCTTTCCCTAAGTATTTAGGATCCTTTATATATAAATAGGGTTCTATGTACTTTTCATATAAGTCAGGATATTAAAAATGTAACTCTTTGGGTCATTCTCTTGTGGATGTAGGTCACCATGGCCGAAACACATATTTCTTTGTGTACTAGTCTTCTTGCATTTTCTCTTACTTATTTTCATTCACAAACACTATTATTTAAAACTTAAAATGGCATTAGAGCTAATCACTAAAATACTAAACACTATTATCACTAAACAATATTATTAATTAGAATCTCCCTCAGCCTCCCCCCTTCCTCTGGACTTCCTTGTACGTACCAAAAAGACAAAAACCAAAGAATCAAGTTTTGCAACTAAATTTACTTCTCTATCTGAAAGATACATCAGCAGCCAATTTGAAAATATCAAGTCCAGTGATCCTTCTGAAATTTTCAAATCTGGGGAAGTCACATCAGCACAGAGGAATTTGGCATTTTTATAATGTCCATTGATGCTTTCATTCTGCAATTAAGGAAATCGAAAGAGAAAATCTAGTCAAGCCCCTTATGAAATAGCAAACTAAACTATTTCTGTCATGTTGAGCTTCAATCACCTTTTTTATAACACTGTCAATGAAGTCTAAAGCTATAACATGACCAGCCTTTTGAGCTAATTCACCAGTAAATCGACCAATGCCAGCTCCTAGCTCCAAAATGGATTTCCCTTCATATGGTGGGAGTAGGGATAGCACCTGCATATATCAACAATGAACAACTAGGAATCTAAAATAATAAATGAAGGACATTTAACTCTATCATATCATAATAACAACTGAAATTTTCAGAATTGAGCAATCTTAACTTTTTTTGTTAAGTACAATTAAAAAAATTGTGGAAAATTTGACACTGAGAACAAGTACAAACAAGAAGCTTCAATTTCTTCACTGATTTTGAAAAGGCAGAAAAAAAGAAAAAAAAAATCCGATACCAAATCATTTCTTTTTTTTTTTTTAATTTCCTAATTCTAACAATTTGTTTGGACTTTTAATGGTACATTTAGGCATGAAAACTCCTTCTAAGTAAACAGTAAGAACAGGGTAAGGTAACACTAAAAATAACATAATAAACATAATATATATAACACAGTAAAAAAATAAATAAACAGTAAATAAAACAAAAAGCAAGATTACTTCGGGACGTTCTTCTTTGTCAAGATCAGAGGCTTTGGAGTCAAGCATCATGGCCTCCGCTGTCAAATCAACTGAGTGCTCCATCCAGTAGTTCTTTTGAATATCTCGCTCATCCCCTACAACTCCTATCATTTTCATAAAATCAATTTCGTTTTTTTTTTATAACTTAAACGTCAATCAAAGTTCCACGTTCTCGCAAATGTTTATTAAATTGGTCTATACATCATTTTTCAAATTTTTGGTTTGGTTGAAGTTTATGAATATTGCAACAAATTTCAGATGGAGCAAGGGATCTCACCGTTAGTCGCCATTGTTAATGCGCAATATCTCTAGCTAGCTTTTCGGAGGGGAGATTTGAAATTTGCTTTTTTTTTTTTTTTTTCAAATGATGAAGGGAGAAAAAAGAAAGGAAAAAGAGCTAAAATCCCTCAATGGCAACACGGGATCTTGAAAATGACCTAGATCTGCCGTTGTTAATCCTCCCTTTCTGCTGCATCACACACAAAATTGCAGCATAACAGAAATACAATACTTTCCAAATTTCTATTCCTTCTGTTGTGGGATTTAAAGCTTGGTTCACCTGCCTTTTATAGAGCCATGGAGGGGTAATGGGCTTCTTTTTATATTTTTTAATTATTAGTTTTTCATATTCATCTTAAATTATATGTCTCGTCGTAAGAGGTGTAATCGAGTCGAGTCGAGTCGAATAATGAGAAGTTCAAGCTCGAGCTCGACTCACAATTCGAGGTTCGATACTCGGTTCAAATTCGATCGAATTTTATTTTTCAAGTTCGAGTTCGATTCGTGATCGAATTCGAGCTATTCGAGTTTGTTCGATTGGCTCAATTAATATGTAAAAATAAGCTCGATTCGTATATTCAATAAGAGTTCGATTATTCATGTTCGAACTCGAACTCGAATTCGGACTCGAAATATTTTATTAATTAAAATAATAAAAATATATTTAAATATAAAAGCTCGATTAGACTTGCGAGCTCTCGATCGATAAGTCGAATTACTCGAGCTCGAGCTCGACTCGATAATAATCGAACCGAATTCGAATTTTTTTCGAATCAAATCCGAATAACTTGCGAGTATTAATATATCATTTATACCCCTATTTGCTACCAAAAAAAATCTATCTTTTTTTTTAATATTTTTGATAATAATAAACTATAATTTTTTATGAAAAATTAATATAATGTAAAAATGAAAATTATAGCTATTTTTTCCATAACATATCAATATTTTTTTTTTGAAATAAAGGACTGTTTTGCATTAATTACCGATATCAGAATCGACATTGTTTCTAATGAAAGTGGGGCCTTTCCCCAACCCAAGTTTCACGTGCACTCGCTGTCAAAGCATGTTTTGCTAATGTATGGGCCACTGCGTTAACAAATTTCATCCGCACTGATCTAAAGTTGTCACATTTTCTCCTGATGTTTACCATAATATTTTTAGTACTAGTTGAAATCTTCCTCCACACTTTGGATCCCTCTTATAACCTGCATTGCGTCACCTTCAAGTGTGAAAGTTTCCAACCTCATTGCCATGGCCATATCGATTGCTCTCTTGGCAGCAAAAATCTCTACCACCTTTGGATCATTTGCATGGCGTAATTTGTCTAAAGCCGCTCGTAGTACCACCCCCTTTTTGTCCCTTGCAACTACATCAATACCCCCCTATTCCCTCTTGTAGTTTTAGAGCTCCATCTAAGTTGATTATCACTTGTCCTTGTGGTGGTGGCTCCCACTTTAGTGCAGTACCATTCTCTTTATGTCTCCCAGCAACGCGATTCTGCTTAATCTCCATCCAATAATTTCTTGCAAACTGTATCACCATTTCTCAACTTTAAATTCATAACAATTTTAATAAAATTAAAATCTTATATAACTATACCCACACGCTTTAACTCTTTCTGTGCAAGAGAGCGTGTACCACGATATGATGTACACCTTAAATCTTGGCTCACGGTAAAAATTTTATAAATATTTAAAAATATTATCTTTTTGTTATAGATATTAAAAAATGTTATGCACCCAAATATTTTATTCATTAATTAGTATATGATTTTCATTTAAAAAAATAAAATTTGAATCACTTTTTTTAATTAAAAGGTAATATTAATCTATATGTATTCATTTAATAATTTTTATAAATAACTTAACAAGATACTAGTATTTTTTAGACTTATTGATTAAGTTTAATTCTTTAAAAAAAAAGTGAAAATAATTTTGAAACAATTCAAAAAATAATTTGTGACAGAGAATATTTAATTTTAAAAAGAAATAAATAAAAACTTATTAAAACCAAATGGTTCCTATTAAATTGGCTTTTGAGTTTTTAGAGAGGGGAGGGGACCTTGAGTAAAGGGGTATCGCACCCAACACGTGAGTGGGGCCCCCATCAATCTAATATTATAAAAGAATTTTGTCATTTTATTGCAGTTTCTGTTTTTCTTTGGCCAATTATTGTAGTTTTTGTTGGGTACCACCATGGTACACGACAAATTCATAATGATTTATTCAAGTACTGCTCTAAATCATCAATGCAGCAAAGAAATAGTACTATAATTGTCTTATTTTTATTTTTATTAAAAAAGGCAATTCTGAATCTTTTCTTAATAAATACATAAATTCGTCATTGAGTCCAAATTTGTTTGCGTTGTTTAAATTTCTTACTAAAAGTTTAATATTTCAAATCAAGTATATTGAAAAGGTATCCAAGAAAATTGGCCAAAATATTTTTTCGCAAAGACTATTTTTCAAATTTTAATCAATAATAATCTAAAAACAAAAAAAGCTAACAACCTTTAAAAAAATTTTCCACAACAATTCAAATTCAATTAATTTAGTATAAAATAAAAGGCAAAAAATATTATTTTTTAATAAAGTTAAAATATAAGAAATTTTCTTTTTAAAACCAAATATAAAAAATTATAATCATAATCAAGTATTAATCGATATCACTCATAAATGGTGGGATTTTGAATTTGAAAACTTAAAATTTTAAAAATTTTTCTTTACCATTAAACTAATACTTCATTGATAAAAGCAAACAACATTATAAATTAATAACTAATAATCAAATAATTTTACTTTATTTTTTTATCTATTTTTTTAAAATTTTATTCTAATGCATCTGTGTCTTTTCTTTAATGAAATTATAATTATAAAATAAATTAAATATCATATATCATATAAAAATATTTTATCATCTATCATTAATAGAAATATATAAAAAGATGTATCTATGATTTATTATCATTAACAAAAAGTTTATTACCGGCTTATAGGTGATTGACACCTATTGAGTATGAAATGGTGTTGGCGCTGAGCTCCGAGCTAAAAGTAAGGATCTTGAAATCACAAGAGAAAAATAATGGTTAAGAGCAAAGGCAAAAAAATTTCTCTACGTTTACACTCCAACACTCAAGTCAGAAGTCAGTTAAACGAGGTCAGAAAGAAAGAAAAATAAGAAAGTAAATGAGAAAGTTAAATTAGATTAGATAGTATCTGAATGGCTCTATTTTTAGGTAGAAAGTGATGGGTTTATGAGGCAAGATAGTGACAAGCCAAGTTGACGTGACACTATATATGTTAGGTCAGTCTAACAAGTCAGGTTGACTAAAAAGTTAAAAATACCCCTGACTATCTGCTGATAATCTCTAATGAGGAAAAAAACCAATTTATCCTCTAGACCCAAAAAATACCCTTAACAAGTGGAATTTATGAAAATATGAAAGATCATTTGATCATTTGGTGACTATTTTGATTTATTTTTTAAAAGTTCAAATTAAAAAAAGAAGAAAAGAAACCATTGTAAAATAAAAAATACAAGGAATAAAAATGGATGAGAGCAAAAAAAGAAAAGTGGAAATTGAGTGCTAAGAGGGTGAATTTTTATCTTTTGAGTAAAAAAAAAATCAACAAAGAGAGCAAAAGAATTGTGGAAATGAAAGAAAAAAATCTATGTTGAGAAAATTAGGTTTAACCTTGAAGAATGAGAGAAACGAAAAATGAAGAAATTTGTCATAAAATGAAAATTAGTTACAAGTGACATAATGTTGTGTGATGGTGACATGTATTCACAATGGATAAAATAGGAATTCATCAATATTTAAGGTGAGCATTGACATTTTCTTCGAAATACCGAGAATCAAATTTTGAGGTCATTTTAGGATTTAAGAAATTTTTTTTGAAATATATATTTGGGCTTTTATTATTAGTAGATCTGGTGATTCATATATTTGTATTATGTAAAATATTAAAATTTATATATTCATACTATGTTTTACATGAAAATTACATGTCACAATTCGTGTAGACATGAAAACATGAAATATATATTTTTTGATTTTATTAAACCCATATATAATTATTGCCACAATTTTAAGCTATGTCACTTTTGTATCTTATTTTTATATCATGTTATTGTTAGGTCTAATTATTGGGGCAAGCAAAAATCAGCTTGAATGACTTAACATATTTGAATTGATTGAATTTTGTCAATTCAATTAGGTATAGTCGGTTTCAATTTTCATAGATTAATTTTGATAGTTAAATTAATTAAGTTGATCAATTTTCAATATCTAAAATTGACAACAGAGCAATTGAATTAAGATAATCATACATGCAATGAAGTATCTTATAGTCCCCAACCTAAATCTAAAATCACCTATTCCCATTTTTCCTAAATCTGAACACAAAAAACCCAAACCATTTACCATTGTTCTACTTCTTCTTATCTACACTTCAGACTTATGTTTTATTTCTTCTTATTTGACCAATTCTCATCTACACTTATGTCTTACATCTTAGGCATCCCATGTTTGTTTTTTCACCATAAGTCTTTTATGATTCATTTGAATAAGCTTTAAAGGTCTAGTGAACCACCGATGTCCCAACTTGACCCTTTTACCTTCATTTTTTTTTCATTCCTATCGTGCCCTTAAATAAGTTTTTATTTAAAAATGTTAAATTTGTTTCTTTTCCTTTTTTTCTTCTTGTTCTCTATCACCATCCCAAATGTTTAACCATATTTAACCTTAAATTTTGATATAAATTAATTTTAATAATTTTTAATAATTTATTAATTTAAAAAATATCAAATATTTATTATAAATTTTATTATATACAAGTTTTAATATAATATTTTTAATGATAATTTCCTTTTCTCATTACACTTTATCTTACTGTTACTGCTATGTTTGCATTCAAGCATATATCTCACCACTGATTTTAATTTTACTACTACTATCATAACATATAGATTTATTGACCTATCGCTTAAACATAGACTTTAGGAGTCACCACCAACCTTTTTTGTTTAGGTGTAATTGACCACTTAACTAAATCTATCTCATTCGAAGAGAAGTCTCAAGATTAACTTAGGTATCTTTAAACAGTATATTCTAGTTTACGAAATAGATTTTAGGTTCGGGAGTGTAATTACGTGTGATAAAGGTTATAACACCCTTACAGCACCCATCAAATAAACGGTACCCGTTTGATTTCAAATTATCTAAGCCTTAAAATATTATCATAATTTTGGCAAATCATTTAATTATTGAAAACTAATCCTAAA